CCCCCCCCCCCCCCCCCCCCCCGGTGCAATAACACCGATACCGGTGTGGAAATGCAATCAAATCATTTCGTTCTAGTCTATATTTCGAACGCACCCCCGGTGCGATGACACCGACGGGTGCGATGTGGAACAAATCGCAGTGGCCATGATGCGGTGCTGAATGAGCGCACCACGGTGCGATGACACCGTTAGGTGCGATACTCAAGAAACGAACAGGCGTACATGTCTTCGTCTTGCGTGCTGTAACTCTTGCAGTAGGAGCTTGCGTAGACGGTACCATGCAACCAGCCCGGCGTGGTGATAGCGATGAGGTCGAATCCGAGTTTGGGGTGGCGTGCGCCAAAGGGAACAGACGCTGTGGATCCCTGCTGGGGAAGGTAGGTATACGGCGGGGTATCGTTTTTCTTCCAGCCTCTTTGTTGGTGGAAAACCCCTCTTTTGTTGGCTGGTGCTTCCCTCTGTCTTTGTCTGCCTCAAGGAATTGGCATGGTACCGGTACAACTGTAGTACCGTTCACGAACTCCTTCTTGTTCGGTTGGTTGCAGGTGCGGAATATGTACTGCCGTGTGCTTGGTTGAGTGAGTGCGTTCGATGTACGAATTACCGTAGAAAAACAAAAAAGTCATTTCTACTGCGCAAACCACGACGGTACGATATACATCCATGAAATGGCGCCCCAATTGGTACCTGCCAACCGCGTTACATACTGATCGACACGTGGCCCAGAGGGTACCGGTACCTTGCGGAAGCACGCAAAATTTCGTCCTAGCAGGTTTTATACCGTTGACATCGCACCGGATGCGATGACACCGATACCGGTGCGGAAATACAATTAAATCATGCCGTTCTTGATATTTTTGCGCACCCCGGTGCCGTAACACCGATGGGTGCGAAATCACCGATGGGTGCCATCACGCGCACTTTTACGGTAGCCCGGTCGTGTCGAAGCGGCCCCAAAGAACGCCCAATCAAGCCTCAATCGAAAGAGCAAGCCGAGATAACCACGGCCGCCCTGGCCGAAACCCTCCCTTCACACTCTGGACGATCCCGTGCCCCTCACCGTGGTAATGCTGTAAAACGCGAGAAAGTTGGTTAGGGCCGACACGACCAAGAGGCTGCTCTCGTTCCAGCTCAAGAACTTGGCGTTGGGAACGGCGAGAAAAATCGGAACGCCCAGCAGGCATCCGGTTCGCTGCCACGTCACCATGCCCATCATTTTGATTAGGCGAGGGTAGATGCCCAACGTACAGATCGCCAAGATCGTGCCTGTCACGACCAAAACCTGGACGGACAAAAGTCAAGGCGAAAACGACCGGGGACATCAGAAGCGCCAAGCGAAGTGAAAACGGTACAAAAAATGACGACGTCCACCTGCACGCGCTTCCAATGTTGATGCGCCTGCATCCTTCTTACGTCGTGAGGCATATAACACTACTGCAGAAAACGAGAATGTAAATGCACTGACACGTTCCAAATTTGCGGAGGTGTCAACACCAGCGCCTGTTCGCTGCCGAGAAAAAAAAAAACGCCCTTCTTCACCGGCGTGCACATCACCGCCAGGGATATCGAACACCGCGAGCATACTGATACATGCCTTCCCGATCTGCGCGGGGGTCCAGCCCATGCCTCCAACGTCGGTGGTGCTGACCGCCCAGAGAGGATAGACCTCATCGAATCCAATTGATAACATCTGGCGTTGTCGCAGGTCGCACAGGAAGCAGGGAGAACTTGGGCAAACAGCATGAAAACATGGCCGCGGTGACTAGCACGTTGTGCGCGAGACGGTCACCCATGTAGGGCGGACCTCTGTTGCTATTGGACGGTTGGTACATCTGACCCGATACACGCTTCAGAGCCAGGGCCAGCTGTCAGAGTTATCAGAGAAGGCGGGTGCAGATGCTGCCAAAGAAGGCAATTGAATCGCCTCAATCGTCCGAACTCCGCACATGCCCGCTGTATGTCAAGATCTCTCTCTCTCCCTCCGTCAAACTTCAAGCCCAACTCTATAGTTCCACCTGAACCATCGCCGCGATGAAGATGACCATCTTGACGTTCGGCGTCGACAGCAATCCGCCGGCCTCACACATCCCAGGCTCTACTTCTTCGGCGCGGGACGGACCCGGTACGTCTTCTCCTTCGCCGCCGGAACAACTGTTGTCTGTTCGATCGTTCTGGATGCCCCGCCCTCCATCGTCGTTCAAAGGTTCGAAGCGATTCGTGGTCATCCTGCCACTCTTTCCCTGAAGCACGAGCTCAGTGCCGGTAGGAGAGGCCGCATCGCGATTTTTATTTGACCTGTACTTACTGACAGCGGACTTCCGCTGCTCGCTGTCGGCGTCCTCATTGTCCTTGAGGGGTTCGTACTGCAGCTGATTCCTGCTGCTTCTTCGTAGCTTCCTCCCGGCCACAGACGTTGCGCTGGAGGCGGGAGAAGCCTCACTGCACACACGCAGGTGCCCGCGCGGGCACAGATGTCAGTACGAGGGCCAAAATCAGGTAGTGCCGCAACGAACTGTGTACGGGCGTGTCGCGTCGAGCACTGTAACCCCCCTCCGGCTTCTTGGGGAAGCACGGGTCTTTCGAGGTCCATAATTAACGTCCACATCACGAACCAAAAAAAAATGTTGTGGCAGAACAATTTACCGGCTTCCGTGTCATCGTGTCTTCAGGCATGAGAGACAAATCGACGTGGCGGATCGTTGGTCCAACAAGAAATCGGTGGCATAAGCCGTCAAGAAAGCACCAAATTTGTCATAACAAAACTGCCGCTCACCGGTGTGGGGCAGCTTGGGCGTGTGCCTTGTTGGACGTTCTCGTTTCCGGCAGGAAAACAATAACAAGAGCTAGCATGACGAGAGCAAACCCTGCCCCAACTAGGTTTGGAAGCAGGAAGGGGCACCTGGCGACAGTCACACGGCACGTGGTGCAAGACGTTTGTAGAGACAAAAAGCTAAAATAGTGTACGGTGGCAAGTTGTCGCGAAAGAAGCCACGGCGTGGCCCTGGCCCACGAGTGCGCGACATCGATGTCGTGCACGAAATAGCACGGTACATAAAGGAACGACCGAGGACAACGCAAAAACCTTCAATCACGGACAGTCTCTCTAACCCTTTCCTCAGTCAATTCTTCGAGAGATCCGGGCGCTGTAATCATATTTTGGTCTGTGGCAGCTGGAAGAGTGAACTAGTCGACTGGTCGGATAAAAAGGCCCGTTCTCGCTGAGTTTTCGTGAGCAAATTCAAACACGCGGTGTCGATACTCGAAGGGGTCTACATCTGGAAGAATTATGTTGCAGGAGGGCCTACGCCAATGACGACAAGAGAGGCGCACACCTTGCGAACACCCCGGTAGCAGAAAACACAGCCGGATAGGTTGAGGCAGGCTGCGCCAGCAGACCACCGATCGCTGTGCCCATCACGAGACCCACGCCTTTCGAACCTGCGGGCAAGGAGCAGCGCGCCCAGTGCACAAACAAAAGAATCGGAACAAACCGTATCGTCCTCGGATCCGCAAGTTCGAGGCGCACCTGGGGGTGCCTGTGGGCAAGAGAGCCCCTTGCCCCAGCTCGACCAGATTCCATGCTACCAACTGTAGCACAAGGAAATCGGTTGCATTGTTTTTTATCAGCATCGGTTTCGGCATGGATAACCGAACTATGGCCCACATAACGTTTCCCAATCGGTCCTGTTTGAACTATTTACAACTTTTTCGGTCATACCCCACCGTCAAGCGGAGGCGTGACATCACCACCCGTGGACAGTTTCATGTACGTAGTCCGTGGTTCTTCGTGACCACGGATAAATCCATGCTTCGATATATCGATGTGAAGACCACGGTTTCAGCAGTACCTCACTCGTCTGGCATCAGTCAGAATTCACCATTTGCCTCACGCTACGTCTTCCCGCCACGCTGCTGTGGTTCGGCTTGACCTCTACACCACCAGATAGACACTGCCGTTTTCTGCAGCATTAGGGAAACGGCTAACTCGCCCGCAACCTCTCCAAATGCGACCGAGGGGCCTACGAACGCGTGGACGCTGCTTCGACAGAAACGATACGCCCACACTCACCGGCGATGTAGTTCATTCCTGACACGACGTGATCAGGTCCGCAAACCTCGCGCGTCATGGTCCGCACGGCAGGCATGATTCCGTTTGTCAGTCCCAGCACGAACCTGTGAGGAGGGCGAAACAAGCAGCAACGGTGAGATGCGCCCCCCCCCCCCCCCCCCCCCCCCCCCCCCCCCCCCCCCCCCCCCGTATTCATTCTGGTGCGGCGTGATCCGAGCCCAAAACGAACGGAGAGGACGAAACAATGCTGGAGGACCTGGCTAAACCTGGGCACCTACGCATGAGCACACGATTGCACATTCTGCCGGGAAAAAAAAGCATTCTGTGCGTTTCGATACCTCCAGGTCGGCTTCGATTAACCGTTCAAACTCGCCACTTGTTGTTTACTTGGAGATATTGGTTCGGTTGTCTTGATTGACAGAATCGGGACTGCGTCAAACCTCGACCCAACGGCCATCGCAAAGCTGGTGGAGAGCCCGAAGACCACGGAACACGCCATGATGCTCGACAGGCCCACAATGACCACGGGTTTTCGCCCGATTGTGTCCGCCGCATTCCCCCAAATATATGCGCTCAAGAATCGGCCAAACGTGAAAGAGCTCGCGACGTAGCCGGCGTAGTAACCTGTTGAGCAACGGGACGACAACCGGCGAGAACAGCCGCAGCCCAGTTGTAATCAGCGAGAGTTAGGAGGCCGGTACTCACACATATACCAGGCATCGAACCAGATAAAGCACGATACATGCACGTAGGCGAACATGTACGCTCACCCTGGCATGCTCCTCAACGGAAAAGCATCGTGCATATCGAATGGCAATGGATGTAAAACGGCGCAACGATTACTGTGCAAGATGCGAACGTACCAACACACCCTGACAAGAATCTACACGTCGCCACGCGCCCAGCAGGTGTAGAAGTCATCGTCATAAAACAGCAGCGACAGTCTTATGAAACAGCAGCGAGAGTCAGTCAGGCATGAAACAATGAACTCGCCTGACTCGTTAGTAGTGGAGAGGCCCAAGAGGTGCTTCGTCATCGTCCCCACATACGGGAAGAGGTTGGTCAGCGTGTAACCGTTGGTTGTGAGGACCAAAGCCAGAATGACCACCGAGCGGTAGGGAAAGGCAGTGTCCGTGGCGGTGGTCCCGGTAGCAGGCGAGGCAGCCATCCCTCTCGCCAACCCTTTTCCTGTTCACCTTCCCTTGAATCGCCCTTCGCGCCGCGGATAACAACAAACTGCTCTTTGCGAGGCGTGTGGAATTCTGATACAAACCAACACACAAAAGCAGTAAAGGGCGCTGAGGGTTCTCCGCATGCAGATCGCACGGGAGAGAACCTACAGGCAGACCACCATCACGAACAAAGCCTCATGTCCATGTACGAAGATTGTTCTCAGGAAATACGTTATTGCTGTTGGAGCATACCACTCGGTAGTGATGGAGCGGTGGTTGCATTTATTGAGAAGGAAAGCCGCACACCAAAATTTCGTATGCATAGTCTAGGCCACAGTACACGCAAGCTTCATGACACGCGAATCTTCAACAGTATTTATACTTCGAAGTTGTAAACATTGGTACAGTAGTGGCATGGTTCACATATGAGCGTGGATCCGAGGGCGTATTTCGACCTTGTCAAAAGCAATGGTTGATTCAGCAAGGCAAAGAGTCTTTTGACCTCAATACCACCGGTCGGAGTGAGGTCACAGCACCGTGTATACAGGTGTAGGTGCATTAGATCGTGGTAAAGGGTGCTAAGTATCGTAAACTACGGAGTTTTCCCCCCGGGGAGGGGATCGTTTTTTTTTTTTGAAACCAACCCCCCCGGGGGGAAATTGACGTACCGCGGGGGGTTAGGTTTTTCCAACGCTACCCCGGGGAAGCCCCCCCCGGGGGGTTGTGCAAAATATTGACGGTCCACACACCACACACTCACGGAGAGTAGCGAAACTGAGATGGATAAGGTTTACGAGCAAGCGTTCCACAAACAGAGGGAGGAGGAACGTAAGAGCAACGAAGACAGAGAGAAGAAAGACGGCAAGGAGGACAGCGGCTGGGGGAGTTTGTCTCGTCCCGCGAGTGATTCCAACAAGAGGAAGGGCCCGCCTTCCAGAGAGTATCCGCCAGCTCCGTTCACACTGCGGCGAGCATCTGGAAAGAGCGGGCGCAGCGCATACGAGAACGTGCAGAAGCTGGAGGTGCTGAAGTTCAGCCGGAGCAAGTGCGCCAATGGGAACCCAGTCGGAAGCCGTGGTGCTGGGAAGGTGTTCGGCATCGATCCGAAGCTCGTCCGGGGTTGGGAGACCCAGGAGGGCGAGCTTGTGGCGTTGTTACAAGAAAACGAAAGCATTTAACCCAAAATATAACGGCGAGGGCCAAGTGACAAACGGTGCACCTAATCTCGCTCGAAGCCGAGATCTGCCGATGAATTTCCCGTCCCATTTCATGCTTCTTGTGTTCCGCGATGCAACAAAATCGACTCAGGAAATAAGGGAAATACATCCCCCCCGGGGGGAACTCGTGGGAAAACTGGTACAACCCAGGGGGTAAATACCGGNCGAGCTTGTGGCGTTGTTACAAGAAAACGAAAGCATTTAACCCAAAATATAACGGCGAGGGCCAAGTGACAAACGGTGCACCTAATCTCGCTCGAAGCCGAGATCTGCCGATGAATTTCCCGTCCCATTTCATGCTTCTTGTGTTCCGCGATGCAACAAAATCGACTCAGGAAATAAGGGAAATACATCCCCCCCGGGGGGAACTCGTGGGAAAACTGGTACAACCCAGGGGGTAAATACCGGGGGGGATTTTTTTTTTTTGTCGGAGACGGTCTACCCCGGGGCTAAATCAACGAAACCATGCTTCCAGGCCGAAAAGGTGATGGGGGGGAGAGAAATCTGTACTACGGGGGGAAAACTCCGTAGTTTACGGTATCTTGCCGACATTGAGGCCAACCATGAGACCACCAATTGGACCAATGGTGGTTGTCTACATGTACATCTAAGCACTTCGTCCTTACATACTGGTATGCATACATGCATACGTTTGCTGTTGGATAGATGTAGGTGAAAGCACTCTGTTCTAATGCTGCTGTTGGATCTGCAGTAACAAACAGCAGCGAAAGACATGCACGCGACTAGTGCAGACACTTTTTTACGAGTTTGGAACAACTCGCCGAAGAGGAGATCAGCACGACGTATTGTCTTATCAGCTAAATCAGCGCCCGACAGTGCATCTTCATGTAGTACATGAACGCACCACACACCGAGTTCGCAACTCCGCCTTGCTTGCCGACGCTGCCATCCTTGGCATGACGATCTCGCGAGGTGTCTTGAGCGAGAGCCAAAAGATAAGTGCCACAACATATTAAATGTACTGTACATGTAGTTTGGTGCACTCACGCACATCTCCACCCTCCCTCAAGGTTCTGATAGCAACAGCACCAGACCAAAAACAACTGCCCACGGACAACACACATATAATATTTTCCATGCTCCGGTCAAATAGTCTCGGAGGTGGGCAGGTCTACAGGGGGTCTCTGACGCTGCTGAGGACTGCTGCGACGGCTGTCTACTATTATATATTATAATAATAAAAAAATGGCGCAGTCACAGCAGTAGTTTAGTACCCAAGTACTAATCATTTAAGTCTACTGTAGCTGCTCTACAGCATGAACTCCTAACGTTCAAGCGCTTTGATGTAGCACACACCTGGCCGCCGAGAGAGGAAGAAAACAGGTAGCAAGGGGAGTGTGCTACCACAATCTAATATGGCCGTGTGATGTATGGGATGATAGGATTGCGATAGATTCCTCAGGGGATGTGGAAAATTCATCTGCGTGACCCCTCCATGAGAGAGAGGCGGCACACCTGATGACAAGCCGCGCTGAGGGAGCGCGGAGAGAGGACCGGCAAGAGAGGCAGAGGCAGAGAATAAGATCGAGCGAGGGGTGGCGGCGGGGGGATGAAAGGAAAAGCGAGACACATCTTATACCCACACTCAAGCGTCAGGGTCGATTGTTGCTCTTTTGATTGGGTGTAACTCTTGTTTCGCCGCTGGGATTCTCTTTGTTGAGGAGGTCCCGACGTCAAATGAGGTCTCCACCGGCAGATGTCGGACACAAGGCCTACTGCATCTTCTTCCTCCAGGTGTGCACGTGTAGTGTCATCTCCCCCGAGAGATTGTCTCCGCTAAAGTTTTGCATCGATGGCAACGCCAGAAATAGTGGGACAAGTCCAAGCATTTCACTACTGCTGTACTGCTGTAGACACGAAAGTAGCCCGGGCTACGGGTACCGTAAATGACACAATATAAGACACCTACACAATCAATATAAGAAACCCCCCACAGCAGTATACGACACCCCGGTGGTAATTTTG